TTTTCTGCGCTTTTCATTTGCTGACTCTCTCTTTCTCGAGATTTGTACTTCATCTTCAAGCAGTAGCTTTGAGTTGATATAAAGCTCAAAAACGCATCGACATGCGCATCGTAGTCACGCGTTATAAAGCACTCTCTCTCAAACTTTTGATTACCCGTATTATGGGGGTGTGTGCCAAGAAACAAAAGTATACATAGAGAAGCGAAGAAGGAAGAAAGACGTCAAATATTGGACAAATATTTGACGTATGCACGCGCGCCAGAGCTTTAGGCTAATTCACCAAAGGACAAAAAGACAAACGTTTTCGGGTGCCTTGGAACATGCGGGATTTCTCTCTGTCTCTCTATGTAACTGGCGTAAGTATATACTACGTAGAATCTTATACCCGCACTTTGGCTCTGCGCAGCAAGCGAAAGTCTGCCTGAAGAGCTTCCGGGCAAAAGAGAGAGGAGGAACGAACGGAGACAACGATGGAAGTCGGATCCATTACCCGCTGCTACTGCTGCATGTGCAGCAAATTCGTGTGTGACACATACAACGTCTTTCCCTACATACAACCCGCGGTAAATTGGCTCGAGTCCATCGTTTTAAGGATGAATATAGCCCTCGGCTCTCGCGCAAGCCAGTTATATTAGGGCCTCGGAGAGAGAGTAGATCGAGTTAAAGGACGCGTGAAACGACAAATGGGGGCTCGCGCGCGCCCCCCTCTGCACAATGTGTATTCTCCTCCGCATGCTGCTGCAGTGCTGAATATTAATTTCCTCATCTGTGCGCAAGCCAAATGAGTTTGCCCGTGGTTCAGATGGGAGAAGGGAAGAGAGAATGAAAAATTCAAACTTGATTATACGCTAGGCACGCTGTGCACGCGCCAGAAAAACACAGGAGAGAAAGTGGACTTTAGCCATGCACATTCTTGACGACAGCTAGGGACACACACCGACTCTCGTGTCTATGCGTGTGGCTGCAGTACAATATATACACATATATGCCAGAAGCTTTCGCGCAAACTTTAACTCTCTCTCCTTTCTTGAGCAAAAGAGAGAATCGCTATACTACTATCAACTTGCGCCGCAACAGCAGCTAGCAGCAGCAAAGTCAAAGGAAAAGCGTCAGGAGCAGCGGCATGTTTCGCGGCAAAGTGGAGTCTCATTTTGCCATGCGACGACGACGACAACAACGACGCCGTAGTAAGTAAGCCAATAATGAATGGAGCGTAGTCGCGCACGAAAAGAAACGTTTGCGAGCTGTGCGCGCGCGTACGCCTCGATCGCTCGCTGTCCCGTGAAATTGTTCTCTCCTCCCAGCTAGCTAGAGCTATCTAGCTCTTGCGCTTACACACGCGTACATAGCTAGGAAGATCTCTCTATACTATACAGAGGAAGGCTTTTCAATGTGAAATGTAAATGAGAAAATAAGCGGGTGATTCGCTAAATCGAAAAGTAAATGATAAAAAACCAGCCGGACGGCTGGGAGTGAGAGAGACAGAGCTTTTCGCTTGATTAATTCGAAAGACTGTGTATAAGCAGGAGTAGGAGAGAATAGCGAAAGAGCTACTTTTCACGCGTCACACAGATCAGAATCAGAATAGCAGCAGCAGTTCTCTATCCCAGCTATTCAATTTTCCTCCCCCGACTCTCTTTCCCTCTCCCTCTCTCGCTCTGCATAAGTGCATGATTTAGATCGCAATAGATTACTCAAGATTAGAGCTTGCAGCAGCAGCAGCCAGCCATAGCGAGGAACGGAGGGCTTGCAGTAGCAGAGTTTAAGTGTTTAATCCGGTTTTCGAATTGAGGTTTGCGAGACTCACGCCTAAGGCTCTCACTCACTCACTTTACTACGCTCTCTATACGCGCGTCGGGAGTTTTCTTGGCAATGAGATTGTTCCGATTGTTCGCAGTGCGCCGGCACGAGCGAGAACGAGGGAGCTAGCTCTCGAGATAATCGCCGCCAACTGGATGGATGGATGTAGAAAGAGAGAGAGAGATGTAGATGTGTGCGAGAGAATCATCCTGAGAGTCACACTTACAAATCCACTTTTAACTAAATAGATCTTCCATCGAGATCGTGTTGCCGACGTTAGCTGCTGCTGGGCTCTTTACGTTGCTGCGCTACTGCTCGATCGATCTCTTTTTCGCGTATACTGCACCAGTATGCACGGCTCGCCGTGCCCCGAGGCTCCCGAGATTAAGTAAAGAAATAAAGCACTTCGGAGAGCAGAGGACTGTGCCCGATCGCTAAAAGAGACGCTGTAAAAAAGAGTAATGAAAAAAGAAGGAAGAAGAGAGGGACTGTGCAAATAAAGGGAAAAAGTTTCGAAACGAGAAATGTCGAGTCGCAAATGCGTATGTGTGAGTGTGTGCATATGCGCGACAATGAAAGGGATTAAAGATTATGGTAACGAACCTGTGTGCTTTATTATTTATTTATATATTTACAATGTGACAATGGGCACGAAAATTAAATGTGTAACAATTCAGTTGCTGCGAAGCTTTTGCTCAGCGGCTTTTACTTTGTCCGTGCCAAACAGCATATCCCGGGTGACCGGGGAAGAGAGCCCGTACATATACTATGTACGTGTACGAAGGTTCACATTATTACGTTAACTTTGCTGTGCACATCTCACTCTCTCCCGCTTGTATTTCAGAAGCCAGGCAGTAATATGTGGTACACAGAGAGCTGCGCTTTCGTTTTATGTGTGTGTAATGTGTATATGCGCGCGCAAAGCAACAAAGATTCTTCCCTCTTTTACTACTACTAATACCTTATGTCACACAGCGTGATGTGCGGGGATAAATATCATTGGGTCTTCGGAGGGTGAAATTTTCATCTATTTTTCATCTCCTTGTGCAGCAGTGGCAGCAGCTACCAGCTGTATCCAGCTACTGCTGCTGCGGCGGCTCTTTATTCCAGCAGCTGTTTCGTGTCACCGTACTACTACTACTCCCTTGTCACTGCCTGAGCACGAGGAAATTAAACCGACCTGAAACGACTTGTCCGACTCTCTGCGCGCGCTTCTATGTAGTACATGTTATGAACTCACAAACACACACACACGTACACATGTATCGTATATTTATACGGTACAAATATTTTATCGCAAACTCGCCATATATGTGTCTGCTGCCCGAGAATTACTACTACGTGTGTGTCTGGCTGAGCTTGTGGCTTACAGAGGAGAGAGAGAGAGAATGAGAAAAGCGATGAAAAAACATTTATCTGCCTTGCCTCTCTCGCTGTTTTTTTTCGCGCGTAATGCATATAGCTTAACAGTAACAACGAGCCCCTAGTGAGCTCGCATAAACTGCCGTAGGTATAAGTGTGGATGTTGACTGACTTTGCATTTTTCTCTCTTCGCTGGCTCCCTGATGTAGCTCTCTCTCTCTCTCTCTCTCTCTCTCTTGTTTTCCACACACATACACACACATTTACGGCGCAAGAAGCTCGCAAGCTTGTGTATAAGCTATTTTTATATTAAATTTTTTCATTTCGTAAAATTTACTCCTTTGATGCTAACGCAAAGTACTGTATACAATGTACATTCAAGCAAGTGTGTAAATGTGTGCACTGAAGGCAGGAAATGAAGTTCTGCTTTGATTCAGCGCAGTGGTAGACTGAATCCTTTGAATTTCATGGTTTGAAGTTCTCGCGGTGCACGAAGTTAGTTTTATTGATTATTGATACAAAGGCCAAGGCGCAAGCGAGCGAAGTTTTAGCAATAATTGAAACAATCGCGAAATCAATTTGAAGAAATTTCGATTGAAAAACATTCAAATTGTTAAAATTAAAATGCAATAAATAACGAGTTAACGAATCAGAATTTTTTTCTTTCCCGAAGCAACAGACGTTTAAGGTGAATGGGCAGGTTAAAGAGAGTAAAAAAATGCCTTTACATTTCGGTGCAGCATGTACACAGCCGCGTGCGATGTTTTCACTTACCTGGAATATAATTTTCTCTTCCTCGCTACTGTGCGCACCGACTCTTGTGTGTGTGGGTGTCCTGACTCTGCGAGCAGCCGACTGAAGTGTTGGTTTTCGCGTGGGTTAGAAAAAAAAACAACCACGTCGGAGAAATGAAAAAGTAGGTTGAGAAGGGTACTCTTTAATGAAAAGCACACCGTATTCTATAATAAGGTTTTTTTTTTACTATAACAACGTCACAGAGACAGAGAAGAAGAAGAAGGAGGAGGGGAAGGAGTTGCCGTATGAACTTCATTTACCTATTCATATAGATGAGCCTCTTTCTCTCCTCTCGAGACACATACACGTAAGTTTTCTTCAAAGTTAATTTATTTCTTTGCGTTTTGCACTCGAAAACTTTTCGCAATTAAAGTTTTTTCGATTACATGATATCCTCTCTCTTTTTTCTTGTACAAAAATGTAATTAAAACGCTTTCGTGTAATTTGTTTATTTTTTTCTTCTGTAAAAATCATATAATTTGTACTTGATGATGATATCGATCTCAATATGTTATCGTATAGTAAATCATTCGTCGCTCTTCTTTCTTTTTTTCGTTTCAACAATTAAAATCTTTCCAAAATTTTCATAGATTAACACGATTTTTCTTAATATTTAAGAATACATGCGCTTGGCACCAGGATATTTCGTTAATCTCTATATAGTTATCTAGATAAATTGCAAAGCTCTTGAGCAATGCTCCGATACATTTAAACTTACGTTTTCTAACAGTTACGTATATATTTTTTTCCATTTGACACATAATAATATTGCATATGTTTTTGTTCTATTTAATGATTCATGATTGTGCGTCGTCTTTACAAATGAACATCACAATCAAAGACGATCGTAATACTGCTTTGTCGATCAGTCGAGTTAAAAAACCGAAACAAAATACGATTAACGTGCACTTTTATGGACGAATTAAAAAGTTCCGAGCACCGCATAGATACAAAAAAAGAACAAGTACGAAAATGACTTATTTACAACTTGATTGTCTGTATATAACTTATTTTTCCACCGACAAGAGACGAAACTCGGTGCGTCAACGACGACGACGGGGCCCGTTCTTGACCATTTTGAGCGGGTCCCGACTGTAGCGTGCGAACACCTCCTTCTTGAAGATCTCAAAGTGCTTGCGATTGACGCTGTTCTGGCGCTCGCGCCAGGCCGGCCGACTCTTGCGGGTCTGAAGGCCCCAGTGCACGGTGAAAGTCGGCGTCAGCACCTTGAACTTGTAGCCGGCCACGTACATCTCGTACACCTGCGAAATTCATAAAAAGACTGGATAAGGTTCTTTGCGGATATCATAACGACCTCGTTAAAAGCCGTTGACTTATACAATGGTTTTGACTTTACCACTTGCAGATTTACATAAAAAGCTACTCGCTATAAAAGCTATTATTCTATTCAAAGTAAATAAGAACTGGTCTAAATATTTGGAAACAACGAAATTATTTAATGACACGAGCAATTTTTAAAATCGATTCATTTGCGTCACGTTTATTCTCCTCAATAGAAAAAAAAATTTTTCGAGTCAGATTCATAGTCGAATTTTTCCGGTTCATGTTTATTTACACTAACAAATCGGAATTCAAAGTAGTTATTTTTGCTTTATCATTTACAAGTTAAAAAATGGAGGTGCTCGCTACTTAGTAAATAATCTAGTAAATACTAGTAAATAGTCAGAACAAACACCAAAGATTTAATGAAATTAGACTTATGCCATTAATTTTACTCTGCCACTTGCAGATTTACACATCAAAAGAAATATTCGCCATCTAGCGGTAAAAGCTTAGAATATTATCATATTCCATGTGGTTGAATTTAATCAATTTGATTTTTATATGATTCGAATAGCATTAAATGATTTTATCACGATGGCAATAAAAAATCGTCAAAATTAAACCAATTAATCTAAAAGTAATTTAAAATATTACAAATGGTTATGTTTTGAACATTGATTCATTATTTTATAGCACTGCGTGTCTCAAGCTCACATTTAAGGTACTACGCTTTCCGGTGGTATAAGTCGTTCCCATCACACTCGCATACGCTCGTGCGCTAACCTCACTTTGCGGTACCAGAAAGTGCGACTCATGGCTCGCAAAAGGGGGCATAAATGTGAACTTAGCACAGTGCTATAAAATGTTGTACGATACTCATGCCAAAAAGTATTACTTATGGCACTTGTATCGTAAATTACTATATATTAAACAATTTTATCAGGATCTCTCTACTCTCCCAAATATTTTAATTAATTTTAATTTTAATTAAACAAATCTTAGGCACATGGAAAAAACCGATTATTATTCTGAGTTGAAAAAAAATCCAAAACATGTGCGAGCTTATCGGATCAATAGGTGAGCGGTAGCACCTTACCACAGTAAAGAATGGAAAAACACAAAAAAGATTTCGTTAAAAAAGAAAGAATATAATAAAGAAATAGGAAAAGCGGAATAAAAACGCGCGAGTGTATAGAGAAAATCTGTTGGGTCGAATCGTATCTTAAAATCCGGTCTGCATTATAGATATATCCGTATATCCACTGTACCATCACCGCCGCCACTACCACCACCACCCCCTGTCATCCTGTATAGGAATCGTCTCGTTGCTTTTCAAATTAAAGTTTGATCCGATTTAATCGGATTCGATTCTCATCGATAGCGCAGCAGCAGCAACAGCAGCAGCTTGTGATCCGAGGCGATCGTCGACGCCACGCGCCCCGAACTTATCCCTTTTCCACGCCAATGTCATGCTAAACCCTCCTTTTTCTTTCTGCTTTTTTTTGATTCCGCTTTTCGTTTTTTCCCTCCACTCCTCGTCTTCGTCTCTTTCTCGCTCTCTCTCTCTCGCCGCGATATTCAACGAGATACTATCATTCTTCATTAGCATGCAGCCACTGCTGAATATCGATTTTTATACCCCGCTTGCATTGCACTAGCAGCAGCAGCAGTAGTAGCAGCCGTCGAGGCGAGAAGAATTTTCGACGCTCGCCTATAGCGAAAACGCGATAATAAAGTGGATTTCATAAATAGTATTTTCTATGACACGTTTGTTACCTGACTGGCAGGTAGGGCAGACGTATACATATATATACGAATTCGTGAGCAATAATATGTATGTGCGGCTCGTTGCTTCGTTGCGGAGATATGTAAGGTGCCAGTGACAGGCGCACAGTTGCATCAAGCGTTATTATAATAATATACAATATGGAAACAGCTATGATGAGCGCGCTGCACGCTGATGAAGACCCGCCACAGATGACACCGACGACGACGTCATCGAATGAGAGACACGTGTGTTTGCGAACATAAAATGTGTCCCGAGCTTGCAGCGCAACGACTTTCGCGACTCTTCTTCTTCGAGGGTGTACCCCGATTTTCTTGTTTCGAAATGTATGACAATCTTACGTACTGCAGCTGCAGCTTATATACGCGAAGATATTATTTACGTTAATTACTCTGGAGTAATATTGTGTACGCTGCATCGGTTCAGCGTCGTAGCATTCTTGGAGCATGCGACATTGTTGTCATCAAGCGAAAACCTGAAAATTACGTATTAATTTCACTGTCTGTTTGCGTTAGACGTCAGACCCGAGCTGTGTGTGTCGAATTATGCTCTATCTCGTGTGCTCCGTGTGGTTATAATTGGAAACGTTATTTCTTTTCTTTTTTTTTTTAAGAAAATATTTTCATTCCGAGCGAACGAATGCAAATAAAAACCCAAAAAAATATGCACAAAGGCGTACTGGATATCTGCATTTATACGCGATGATGCGATGCAGTTCAAAGCAAGATATGAGCTCGTGCGATTCACACCTTTCGGTAACTTTATCTCTCTCCTTCTCTAATACTCTCTAAGCCGTGCGAATATACAAAGTTATATGCAGATTATTTACTCGCACGCGTATCGTTGCGACAGATCGCCCATCGATTCAAGCTCGCGCAGTGTAAATAATAATTTTTAAAGCCTCTCGACGTCCGGTGCACAATGTCTCTATCTATATATATATTGTATATATATGTGTAGCTATATAGTCGCATAGAATTGGGGGAAAAAAACGGTGTAAAACCAAGGTATTGCCCGTTCGCACAATCAAGTATGGTAATTGAATTTTTCGGTAAAACAAAGCTTTCGCTTCGACGCGCTCGTGTGCCCGCGCGCCATCGCCAACTGACTGTCTGATAGATAGCGACCTCCTCCTCCACCCCCGCACCCGCATTCGTCAACCCATGCCCAGGACCATCGCTGCTGCTGCTGCTGCGCTGCTACGCTTGTGAATGTACAATTTGAGACAAAGGAAAAAGTGAATATATATTTTCCCCTAGAATTGATGAGGTCTCTTTTCCGTCGCCACCGCTGCTGCTACTGTTACGGCTGCAGCCGCCGCCGCTGTCGAGGAAAGAGGAAGGAGGGTAGAGGGAGTACAAATTAGACGAGGCTAATTTATGTTTAAAATAGCCGCAGTAGTCGTAGCAGCAGCGGTAGAAGCTATATAGCGCGGGGCAATGGGAGAAAATTAATAGCTCGCGGAACTCAGTCGGAAAAAAAGGCGCCGCGGGAGGTAAAAATTGCAGAAAGCAGCGAGAGAACGAACGAACGGCACCGAGAGAGAAGAAAAGAAAGTAAAGAAAGTAGGGTAGAGGGAAGAAGAAGAAGAAGTATCCCACGGTAAGTCGAGTAAGAATAATGAAGAAAACTACAGACACAGACGCACACGGTACGCGGGTATGGAGCGACGGACGAATCGAGGCGCGCGCGCGCGCGCTTATAGTCGTATAGCACCTAGTAGAGCGTAATTGGCCGAGGCGCAGGCACAGTAGGAACGAGCTCGCCAACGAATCGGTTAATGTAAATTCTCACGAGAGAAAAGTAGAGAGAGAGACAGAGGAAGGAGAGATAGAGGGTAAAGAAGTCGGAGGTGAAAGGTCGTTTAGGCGAAGCCGAGCGAGTCGTCGTCGTCGCGTTTGCCGAACGGTCGTCGGCTCGTTAGCGCCCTGGCTCGTGAGCGCCGCACACAAGGCTGCACAGCTCACTGTGTTTGATCAGGAGAAGATGTGCAGCAGGGATGAAAAACGAGGGAGGGCGGGAGGGAGGGATAAGAAAAGCAGCCCACAGGTAAATGACAGTCCTATATAGGCGCATAGATGTACAAGTTGTATTATTACCTGAGTATTTCTCGTGTAGCCGTAGCCCATGAAGCGCTCGTCGTGGGCCGGTGCGACGTCGCGAGCCACGTAGAACGGCTCGTACAGGAATTCGAAGTTGGTCACGTCGTGGCTGACTCGGGCCCGCGTGTCGCCGCGTTCCGCCGGTGGAGGTGGCGCCTGGCCCGGTTGAGAGTCCATCATCCATCTAAAAAATAATTATGTTCGTATTACAGTCGAGAATAAAAAAGAAAAAAAACGCCAAAGCTTCCGCTTACTTACCGAGTGAAATTCGTGGCGAACTGATTGTGTATGAAGACCTTGTGATGAAACGGCCTGGCCAGGCTCTTCTTAGCAAGTCGCACGAGCTCGCTCTTGTTCTGCGGGAAACGCACCCTCGCATCCAGCTCGAAGGTCGGTATCACATAGGCGCACTTGTCGCAGCGATTGCGCTCGTCGCGCAGAAAGTCCTCGAGCAGCTGGCTCAGGTTCGAGCTCGGCACCACGTCGACGTCCGTGAGAAAGACCCACTCGGCCTGGCAGTTCTTGCGGGCCAGATTTCTCATGTGGTTCTGGGGATAGGCGTTGCGCACTCGCCAGCTGGCCTGCTCCGCGGAGATGGGCCTGGCGAATTGACGCAGGGCAGCCTCGGGTCGTTCGCAGTCCAGGAAGTCCGGTAGAGGATAGTAACGGGGCTGTTGTCGGGGAGCTCGAGAGCCCGGAACCAGGACCGACACCGTGACGCGCTCGCGAACCGCGGCGTAGCAGCGTTGTAAAAAGTCCAAATAACGCTGGGCCGCCTCGAACTCCTCGTCACCGGCGACGAACAGGCCGAGCGATAACGGGCCCTGCCATTGATGGGCCACCTGCACCAGAGAGTGAAGTTTCTCCAAGGAGCTCTGAGTAGCCAGGCAGACTCGATGCGAGGCCGAGAGCTCGACGTACTGCGTGCCGACGAGGACCGCGTCCCAGGAGCGATAGAGACGTCGCGAGTCCCAGAGGCCGAGGCGGACGTCGAACTGAAGCACACTGGAGGCCGAGTCGTCGTCCATAGTGTCGGCGACGATTCCAGCGGTACCCGCCGCTAGACCGTCGTTGTTCGACGTTGGGCATGGATTATTACTGCTCGCTGCCACTGCTACAGCCTGTAAGGATTGCGACGCGGAGGCCGACGACGACGACGACTGCTTCAGCGAGGAGAAGATTTTGACGGGGCCGATGCATGTTTCAGACTGCAGCAGTAGAAACGTCAGCAGCATGTTGGATGAGCCGAGAACTATCACGCACACCAGGCTTAGGTTCCATGGTCGACACCCAAACTGCAACGTAACAAGAAGAGAAAAGGTTAATAATTTATGCCTGATTTTAGTATTCATTATAACTCGATAATTATAAAATGATCATTTGAAACGTATTGAAATGTGCTACCACTAATTTGCTTCTTTTAATTTTACAATCACATTACAAACAACAAGCGAATTTTTCCGTTTTAGCCACTTTACATAAGGTAATACCACTTTCAGCTTCCACCACTAGATGGCGAGTGCCTATTGTCGTTAAATCTGCAAGGGGCAAAGTCAGTATAATAGTATACGTTTATTTTTTATTATGGCAGGTCAAAAACAATAAAACTGTTGTCAAGGTCTCCTTGGCGTGGTACAGAAGGCGGCACTTCACGATAAACCCGTCTCTGCACCAGCGGCGCGGCTATCTGCGCGAAGGGTCCGTGGCTATCATTACTAACTTGACTCTCGTGCGATACGGGTCAACCAGCAAGCATCCTTTTCCACTTACTCCTTATAACTTGTTCAGTGCTTCATACAGTACTTCATTCAGTGTTTTTGTGTAACTTAAAGAAACTATAATAATTATTGTAATCAGTTTAAGTGAAACTCTCTTGTTTTCTTTTCATCAACCTTCCGCCATTACAAAAAAAACTTTTTGTTTTCTTAAATTTGCTTCAGTGGAAAGGATTGAATCAATGATCGTAACAAGAATTTTATTCAGTAAATATATATAGTGTTTATTAAAACTATTAAATCATAATTGAGTATGCTACAATGTTAAATGTTTAAAATATGTATTGTGACGGTTGCGTTACGCCGTCACAGCTCTCTCGCCACCTCAGCCAGACTATTGTGAAATATACCATTTGACATATGTTTTTCCACGCAGCAGTGGCAGCGAGACGCATGTGGGTGCGAGTATGTGTGGGTGAGGATACGGCGAATCGCAAGATGCCATAGAATATTTTGGAGCAGGGGTGACGAATTGGTCACGTGATCGATTCACTCCTGCGAGCCGCGCGACTGTGAGCAGCGCGGCGAGATCGTTTTCGGACGCTGAGACGACCACATCGACGTGGTCCCGAAATCGCGAGAAGTCGCGTCAGGCGTAAGTTGATCTCGCCGTATATCGCAAGTGCGTGTACCCCGAGGCACGACCCGGACTAGCGTGAACGCGAGTAGCGCCGAATGTCACGGGTGCGTGCGGTACGTACGACTTGGACTCGCGTGTACGCCTTCGGACGGGCTTGATTGTCGGGACACGTGAAGCGGTGTCGCGTGCCAGATCTCCACGTGATTAATTTGTACGCGGCAACGGATTGCCGCCCGATTCTGCGTATCGCGTGCGTGAGTGCAGCAGCACGAACAGGACGAGGGGCCATCCTTGACCAAGGAGACGACAAGCGGCCAGCGACGGCCAGGGCGTGCGCGACTAATGTAAGTACCTCTCAAGTACCAAGCCCTCTCAATGCGTGTGCAATCGCATCCTGTATGCAAGAGTGTGTGATCGCGATTGCGCTGCTGCGTGCGCTATAATTATCGATTCAGAACTTGAAACTTAATAATAATTCATTTCTTAATTACTATGTTAATTCGCGAATTGTTATTTCGGCAAAACCTTTCCCGTTATTTCATCCTAGATTGGACCACGACGCCGCCGCGGTCGGTGCGAATTGTCGCACCGAGTAACTGAGCTAGTCGGTGACCAGCGCGAGGTCGCGCATCACCTAGGATTCACCTACGAATATTGTAGCGGTCACGAGAACCGTTACAGTATGAACAAAGTCGTATCAAAATATGTGTTTACGTAGAAGAACTGTACTGTATTGTCGTGTAGCTCGCTATTCGTATGCGTATTCGCAACGAATTTGCATCGCGTAATTATTCGCAACGCGCTCGCGAGGTTCGCGCAGTCTCTGCGCGCCAGTGAATTTGTGTGTGTGTCTCTCTTTCTCTCTCTCTCTCTCTGTCTCTCTCTCTCCCTCTTTCCTTCGTTGCGATCCGCTCGTGGTCGCGTGACTGCACCTGAAACAAGTCTCATAATGAGTATTACATATTTGGATATTGGCTTTGTGGGAGAGAGATGAGATCTTCGATATTTCGATACACGATGATTACCGCTTTCTACAGATATTTTTCGTTTATTTTTTTACTGCACGGTGAACTAATAACGAGTATTTTTAAGAAGCTAATTTAACACGTGAAGTATAGGGCGCGAGTTATATAATATTAACTATTCTTTACAATATATATTATATTAATATTAATCTTATATCATTTTAACTCATATCATTCTTTTATTATTTATAATCGATATATTGATTTATAGTATACATGTTATAAACATATTTAACAATGGTAAAGGAATGTAAAATTTATTGATCGTCGCCAACTTGTACATCGTATGTAAGTTGTCTCCGACAGACAATCAGTTCTATCTTGGATCTCGTCAAGTAAAGACGTTAAATATGAGTACTTTTTAATTAACTTCATAAATAAAGTTATAAAGTTATTCTATCAATTCCTACCTTGGAAATATTATATTATCAATAGATAATTTAACTCTCGCGGTTTGTTATGCCTTCAAGCAAATCAGCTGTTCGGTAAAATGACCACTTCCTGACAGTCTGAAAACGCCCTATATGATGGTTTTTCTTAATTTTGAAAAACGAAATCAAAATTTTTTCAAGTTATTATAATTGCATCCAGGCAAAAAAGTTTCCCTGATTTACAACGAGAAGTTAAATATAATTAGTGCATAAAGTTGAAAACGACCATTTTTTTGAATAATATACCGTAAAACAAACGAAATATATCAATCCAGTTATCCAACCATTTTCACGTAAAAGTCGAAAAAGCCCATGCGCGGATAAAACATTTTTCACAACCCAATAAGCCAGGGTGAGCAAACACTTTTCGTTGTCGGGGTTAAAAAACCTTTTAAAATTCATGCAAATTTAAATTTATCCGTCTTATTTCCGGCGTTTCGTGTTTCCCTACTATTTCGTTTCTCTCTCTTTCTCTCGCCATGACGAGCTCGTTTTTCGACCTAACACAACAAAACACAACAATCAAGCACCAGGTCCAGGCGTCGAGGATGAAAAAAAAAGGAACGAGCTAGCAAGAGAGAAAGAGAGAAGCGAAGGAAGTAAAAGGAGGGATGAGAAAAAAATTTGTCGAGTCAGGTAGCTCAAAGGTCTCCGTTCTGAGCGAGTAAGTTTCAAAGAAACAAGTAAGTAGAGGGTCTCTGCGAGCTTTGAGAAAAAAATGAGACGAAGCAGCAGCAGCACCAGCAGCAGCACCAGCAGCAGCACCAGCAGCGACAGCAGCAGTAACATCAGCGGAAGGAAGAAAGAAAGTGCAGGAAGTAGTTGTAAATTACATAAGGCTAAGTTGAACGTTGGAGTTGCAGCAGCAGTGGAGCAGCTCGTATCGTGAGTAGCTATTTGAGCGAGAGCGAGCTTGCGAGAGAGAGAGAAGTTTCAAGCTCGTTTGCAATTTTTGTGCCACCACCAGAGCTGTTACTCTGGACTGCTGCTACTGCTGCTTCTGCTACGTTTACCGTGTGACGTACAAGAAAGTCGTCTTGCGTGCGTGCGACCGTCCTACGACGACGACGACGACGACGACAAGATAATTAGTGCTACATAAAACGTCGTTACTCTCTCTGCTGTGTGTGAGCAGTGCAACGGAGGAGCTCTAGCTACGTTGGAACAGGGTACGTATGTAGTCGTCAGCCTAGGCAGCTCAGTGGCTCACTTTTTCTCCTCGAGCTAAAACTTTCCAGTTACTAACAAGTCTTTTTACTACGGGGAGAGAGAGAGAGAAAAGAAACGTTCTGATGAAGCTGCGACGACGCGCGTATACATAGTCAACCACTAGGCTGCTGTTACGGCTCGGGCCATGACAGCCACTTCTCCATTTCATTATTTTTAGCCCTTAACGCCTCGCCACTCGACGCGTGCGCGCGTTTGTGAAAAATAAAAGGAAGACCCGAGTGAGTTGCAGGAGCAAAAAAAAAAGCGCGCGCATATTAAAAGAACACAAAGAGGGTAGGTAGTTGGGTAGGCAACGATCCCTCTTTCTCTCTTTCTCTCGGCAATCATAGAAACGCAGCAGTGGTGGTCTACGCGACGACGCCTTTGTTAAAATGCGCATCCGTTTGCATCGTCAATTTGTCGCTACGTGGCCCGGCATATAAGCAATCAATCTGATAAAAGTGCGAATGATCAATTTTTGTGAACGTGGAATGATGCTGCCGAGTGGGTCAATACAGGATGCTCGTGAAGAAAAAAGGTTTGACGATAGGCTCTTATTGAAAACAGATAACAAAACTTGACAAAACGGATATATTATGCCTAGCTTAAATGACATCATTCAAGCTTTTTCGTGGTTCGACCTACATTTATTTTTTCTGCTGAAGGATCGATTTAACGAATTTCTTTGAGAATTTATAAAAATGAAGTTTGATTGATCAAACAATATTCGTAAAGGAATTTTACTTAGGAATTTGCAAGGAAAGGTTTCATCTGACCCATATTTTTTAAAACAATCGGTATCACTCAGACATTCGTATGAAAATATTGTAATCAATTTATTTCGAGGAAAGGTATCAATCGGACATTTTTATGTAAATATTGTAATCAAATTAAAATAAATAATATCATCCTTATTTTATTTTTAATTGTTACATACATTTTTCATGATGCATGACAATAGAAATATGCTCAGATACTATGTGCGTGAATGATACCTTGCTTTTTTCATTAGCTCCAAAAATTGCATCAAATATTTCATTGTCGAATGGCTTTACTCGCGCGAGCGCGCTCATTTCATTATGTATTTTTGCATCGGTTTCTAAAACAATGGCAAACTTTTGCATCAAATGCGCACTAAAAAATCTAGAATGTTTTTTAGCTGCAAAATTCTCGCAAAAAGAGTTGCAACTCAACGCGCAAAAAAAGAATGAACGTACATCAAATTTGCATGGCACAGTTTACAAGAGCACAAAAAAGGCACGACGTGTAAAAAATAAAATAACGCAAAAATTGAGTGGCTCGGCAAAGAAAGAAAGCTCGAAAAGGGACGCAAAGGAAAAACCTGAAGTTTTATTGTTTTTCGTCAAAGAAATATACTGTAAAATCATTAACATCCTTCGTAGCTTTTTTCAGAAACAACACCCGCTAAAAAGCTCGAATCGAGCTTGCAAAAGCGGCGCGTTAAAGTCAATAATAATTGAAAGAGAGAGAGAGAGAGAGAGAGAGAGAGAGAGAGAGAGAGAGAGAGAGAGGAAAAAAATACGATATTCGTTATGCTGGCATCTTGTTCGATCGTTCATCGATGCTCGCGCGCGCGCGCGTCACCTGGAAAAATATGTCGTACGCCGTTGTTGTTGCCTGTTTTTAATTAAAAAATCAGGAAGTGAAAAAAATAAATTTCCAAAAAAAAAACAATAACAATGAGGCCGTGTACGTATGCGTCACAAATTACGGCCTACGCTACATCGCCGTGTACAGCTGAGTTCGCATATATATCCGCTCGCGATCAATCAGTCGACGCTGGTTAGACGGGCAGCACAGCCGTGTAAAGGGCGCGCACAGCCGCTCGCGTACAACACACATACCCATGTATGTATGTATATAATCTATATATGAGCGAGAGGCGAAAGCGTGAATCTGACGCTACAATTCATTCGTCTGTTTTGCGCGACAGCTCTTATACGAGATGATGCTGACTGTCTCTCTTGGCCGCGCGTATACGCAATGTACGAACCTGTCCGACTTGCCTCCCTCGCATGCCCCGGCGTACACGTGTGACAGACTAAAAGCTCAGCAGCATCGCGCGCCTATATGCCATCACGGCTTGTGGTTTACGGGGGGCGGCGGCAGCGGCAGGGCCTGCGTTAGGCGTTGCGCTGCCGCAGCAGCGGCAGACGAGATGCTGCTGCTGCTACTGCTATTGTACTGATGTCGATGCGATATATACCGCTGGATTGCGTATGTATGTATGTGTGTGTGTGTGTGTGTGTGTGTGTGTGTGTGATATTATTCAGGCGGTGGATTCAAAAATATATGCCATAATCGATTATTCGAGCTTATGGCATTTTGGTTGTACTATGCATTATTGATATTGATGAGGTAAGAATTAAAAGTAACGCATCATGCAGATACATTCAATCATCAATTTTCCAACGTTACACATTTTGTGCATTAATGTATCGTTCCACGAGATTATATATCCAATTTTTATCTTGCTTTCAGAGTCAACTTTGCATATTATTTATAATTAATAACAGAAAAATATTGATAATCAGAGTCATCGCGAATATTAGTTACAGAAGCATATCGCGGTGTCCAATTGATTGTTCATGAAAATATTTAAGATATACCTATAATATGCCAATACCCATTCTACCTCAAGTTTCCGTACAAGTAAAAATTTAAATATTATCTAAAATATAAGCTTAATCTTTCTTGCGCGCGATGAGAGAAATAAATTAAACCAGCTGCACTGCGAATTTGGCTTCCGACTTCGTCTACCGTTTAAAGGGTAAGTAAGAGTCGATATGTCTGGTACTAAATACTCCTTTCTTCACCCCTTGTTTCTTCTTCATTCTCTTTGACGAGAATTTTTTGGTTTGTGTTATTTTTTATGCGATATTTGCTGTTGCGACTGTTTTTTGTGCTTTATATTACGAACCAAAGCTGCTGGATATGTATGAGTACATAAAAATTCGGAGATTTTTCCAGTGAAATTATATCGATATTATATTGTTTGCAATTTATCGATTAATTAATGAGGCATGTAAGTCCCTGCCTTCATCGACGTCGTTGTGTACACGCAATGTAAACATCGCGGCGACCCATACTTACATGCTGATAACTTGACCGTACGTTGGATTGAAAACTCTTGAAACTGTTATTGTCGCGGACGACGTTGAACGAACCGATTTAATTAACGCGCGTTTATCCTTATTTCTTTTATCGTCCAACCGCAAAAATGAGACGGAGAGAGGATCTAACTCCGCCGAGGAGTTTTCTGATGTCCCCCGTGGACATGACGACGATCAAGCAAAGTATCGGAAGACTCTGGAGGGTAGCTTCGAGGTTAGTGAATACGCCCGAAGAACACGAGGATGGCATTCCTCTTAACGAGGCTCAGCCGTTAGCTCCACCGACCGAAGAGAGAGACCAGTCCGAAGAAACTCCTGTCAACGAAGTTCTGCCGTCGACTCGACTGATTCCGGCGGGGACCGAGCCAGAAGGAGACTTGCAACAGATCGTCGTGCAGGACAACGTCGTGACTAGTTCAAGAGCATCGTCTCCCGTTTTCCAAGCGCGACGTAGGAAATCATATACACCGGCACCGGGTCAGTCTAGACTCGAATCATGGACAGGTCAGCTGGAACGGGCAGATTCGTCGGTAACCATAGAACCACCAATATCGCCGGAATCACCGCTGAGGGCGCCGGAAAATTTGCTGGGACCAGCTCCGGGACCACCGAGAACTAAATCGGACGAGAGAGGCAGAAGCCCGGCGCGAGAGGAAGGTCTACAGCGGCCTGAAACGGACGCACAGACTGTCGGTAACCAAGTGGACCACCAATCGAGGCCACATCCCGAGAATGCACCGGAAAGAGACGACCTTCCAGAAGACTCAGAAGTAATACGATAATATAAGAATTCTATGCGATTCATTTTAGAGGGAGAATTAAAAATTGAAATAACTAACGAAATAAATTGTTTTCGTTTAGCTGAGGGAGATGCCCGAAAGACAGACCAGCTGGTGGCGTGGCACCTGGCGAATGAATTCAGTAGCAGAACAAAGGTAAGAAACCGTAACGTCGAATTTAAGGGGACAGTATACGAATGACAGTTTTTCTTATTTTACTCCATAGGGAACCAAGAAGCCGCTGTACTATGGTGATATTAATATCAATGGCGTGCTTCTTACTTGCGCTAACAGCATTATATACCTGGGTATTATTTAGCACAATATTTCTTCCCCGTTGGCGATCATCGCAATAAAAATGACCATTACGACTATCATCCCGCTATACGACGGGGGCATATGAATAATTTTTGAATGAAAATAAATTTTTATTTTTTTATACTCGATCGAATGAAAAATATAAATATTTATTTTTGTACGCCAAAAGTCAAGTCGTCGAAAATATTTAATTATAATCCCAGATCCCCGTGCACACGAGAATACTATGATTTGTTTTTTTCATCGACTTGTAGGATGGGACAAGGAGATCGTAATTTCCTCATCGATTGCGCACCTACACGATGAATTTTGCCGACGAAAGCTTTGGTGCAGCCTGATACTTATCGGGCAGTTCATAGATGCTTCACGTAAAAGTTTACTCTCTCTCTCTCTCTCGATTATTGCCCTAGTAAAAATGCTCAAAATCAACAACGGTCTAATGACGGAAAACTAAACATTTATAATGTTTAAAATACACGACGATTAATTGACTTTAGCGATTTTCCTATTACAATATTATCTTATAAATATTAATGACCTGAAAAAACTATTCTACTGCTCTAATAAGTTAAGATCATTTTTCAACTACTTCAAATATTATAACGCTTCTCTAAACATTTGATACTAGATAGTGAGTGCATTAATCAGTAAATCTGCAAGTGGGAAAAGTGAAAATAATCGAATAAGTCAAAGCACGATTTTAGAAATGATTAATATCAAATATGCTCTGAAAACGATCGTTTTATGTTTCTAAAAATGTAACTGAGTCTTACAACTTTATCCATTATACAACCATCTGCAAGTGGCAAAGTGAATATAATTGTATAAAGTGAAGGCACCAATTTAATCTTTATCATTTAAATATGGTGACATTAAATATTTTGATCAAAATAATAATCATAATAATAATAATAATAATATTATTATTATTATTATTATTATTTATTATCCAATTCATTCTCAATATAAGAGATCATACAGAAAGGTACTTATAAAGAGCATAAATACCCGTACATATAGGTTGGTCCGAAATAGTTATTTATGTAACAAGTGCCCAAAAGGCGTTTTTGGGCACAAGTGTGCGGAAAAAGACACGAGTGCCGGCTATGCCGGCACGAGTGGGTGTTTTTTTCGCACACTGTGCGCAAAAAGCTGGGCACGTGTTGCATACAAAATTTTATGCAATAGGAGACGAAAAATACTTTCATTTAAATGAGGCGTTTTACCGCACACCCGTGTCCAAAATGATGCATTTTACCGCACACAAGTGTCCAAAAACGCTTTTTGCGCACTAAAAAATGTGCGAAAAAAGACATTTTTCGTCATACTATTGCATAAATTAATTTAAAAAAAAATAAAAAATTGAAAAATTCAAAAGCTGTCGAGCATTTCCAACAAGGTTTGCTCCACGAACAATAGGGAAAATAATACCTCACCCTGACTTTTGATTTTAGATTCAAAAATTTCCGCTTCATTACTTCTCAGTTAAAGATCAATCCCATATACACGTAACTTTTGGCGCATCCATTACACATACAGCAGTGGCACACGAGCTTCCTCTCTGCTTATACCAGTTGGGCTTGCAGTGCACTAGCTCTCATGTATACTCGTGCAAACACGTCTCATGTCACGTTTTAATTAGACGCTCGTTCGGCCAGAGAGAGAGAGAGAGAGAAAAGACTTTCGTACAGGGTCTCGTCGTCGTCGTCGTCGTCGTCGTAGAATATACATCTTGCTGCATCAGTCAAGCAGCAGCAGCCTGATATATATGTATGTATGCCGCGCGCATGTATAAATAATAATACGAGTCGAGATATAAATGTCAAGCTTTATAGTGTCCTCTCTCTCTCTCGCATCTCCCCGCGTTCATATACCAGGGCGCGCTCAGAATATGCCAGCATCTTTTGGGCCGTCACGCGTGTGTGTGTGTGTGTGATACCAGCTACGTATAATTAGAACTCGCATACTAAGTAGGAAAGCCGCGCGGCGCGCTACTGCTTGGCTGTAATGTAATTGCTCCCTGCGAGCCTCACTAACACATAATCGCTTACGTATTACTATACGTGGTATTCGCATGCATGCATACATACATTATGTATAATGCACACACGAGTGTCTGTGCGTATATATACACACAAGCGTGTATATATTATATGTATACCGACGAGGTTGGCCAGAAAAAAAACAGCCTCCCTACTACCCGGCCACCGAACGAGAGCTGCTCGTAACTGCGAGCACTCAAAAGTAAAGTTGCACGCGGAAAAAAAGACGCCTTGCCCCTGTAGTGAGTATAGCCATACGATGCTATGTGTGCGAGTGTAAGTGTGCACGTGTAGGTGTATGTGTATGTGATGTAGGAAGGGAACGAGGCCAAAAAACATCTATTGTGCAACTATACCCCGAGCTTTTTCGTATAATAACGAGAGGGAGAGAGCGAGAGAGAGCCAAAATACCCCTGGCTATACAAAGAGCTTTTGCACGCACGAGTGTGCAGTGTGTGTGTGTGTGCGTGTATGCACACACTGACACACAGTGCAAGCGAGCAAAACAGCTTTCATTTAACTTTTCACTCTCGCGCGCGCGTGCATATTCACACATATATATATCATGCGCTCACGTATACATACATAACACGGACGGTTGGCCCATTGCATTTTCCTTTCCTTCGCAAGCTCACTCTCTATACGTACACCAAAAATACGCGTGAGTTTGAATATATAAGACGGAGAAAAGGAGGCTATTCGTTTATTATCACCCGAATATATAAGCTCTGTGGCTGTATCTCTCGCTCTGCCTCTCTCTATCAATGGACTTTTCACTGGCTTTGGGCTTAACAGCAGCAGCAGAAGCAGTAGGAGCAGTAGCAATGGGACTCGTTTTCAAGGAGAGAAAAAAGCAACAGCGAGAACCGCGAGAATTGCAAGCTGCAGATAGCGCGGAAATGGATGGTACGTCAGATAAAGGTCGAATGAAAAAAACGAGCCTACAAAGGTGGCGGTGGAGCAGCAGCAGCAGCACTATATATATATACGATGTGGGGTCGATGAAGCAAAACGAGCTTGCAGGCAGATATACACTAGCTTTTTCTCTCACTCCTATAGCAGCGCAGAGCCTCAGAGTCGTAGGTATATATATATATATATATATATATAT